ACCATGAATAATTTAAGGTTACTTTTATTAACATAAAGTACATATTGGAGATACGTAATTTTCCATTAAACAATTTTTTGGCGGTAATGTGGAGATACACCAATACACCTTTAATATGTTTTTCTTTCCTCCTGTAAAATTTTACAACATGGAGTTAAGCAATTTTCTCCTGAAGGCGACGATATATAACACACTAAATATTAATATTAAGGAGCTTTATAGGGGCTTTAGCTTACTTATGAGTCATTTCTTGCACTTTAATTTATATAATCATAGTGCGAGAAATGAATGCTTTTTAAGTATTTAATCTTTTAAAAATCAGTTTAAGGATATATCTAGATATGGTTGTTCATATTCATATTTATAATTTCATATTCATATTCATAATTTTATAAACTTTATACTATATATCATCATTGTTTTTACCTCTAAAAACAATGATATTAGTCATCCAAGCAAAAAAAAAGAGGTGGGCGACATTCATTAAAAACTTAGATTTATATAATACCAAGCAAACTTTCAAACTAATTCAAAATCAGTAAGCAGGTACTTTGTTATCATTGATTACTGACAGTTTGGTTATTATGATTTTGTGGAACACATGAGCATCAATCGACCTAAAAAGTGAAATTTAAAATCAACGGGAAAACCACGGAAATCTCGAGATACCTACCTAACAATAAAGAGTAAGATTTGTTTTATTTAAACTACTTAAAAATAGCTGAGTATGCGAAACAGAAAGAAAATATCAACAAAGTAATCAATGATAACATAAATGTAAATTTTTAATGAATGTAGATTATTGCATCATTTGTCGTAGGTCAGGAACAACCAGTGGCAGCCCAAAAATTTTACTTTACAACTAAAATTTTAATGATTTTTTAAAAAAAGGCACTAATGCAAAAATAATAAAATAATAGAGGAAAACCTTTCTTATTTTGGCGTGTACTATCATGCCCTTAAAGGATGACAACTTATTTGGTGACACCCTGTATTATCCCTGATAGCACAGTTTATTCTAAGAATGTTTTTTAAACCTTTCAGTGGGAATATTCTTGGGATCATGCTATATTTCTTCTAGTCATCTTCTAAGAATGTTTTTTAAACATTCCAGTGAGAATATTCTTAGGATCATGCTATATTTCTTCTAGTCATATTCTAAGAATGTTTTTTAAACCTTCCAGTGAGAATATTCTTAGGATCATGCTATATTTCTTCTAAAGAACATGCTTAAAAGAAATATAGCATAATCCTAAGAATATTCTCACTGGCCTATAGGCAGGTTCTTAGAAGGTGCAAAGTTTAGTGGTAAAAATTAATCCACTCTAAACATATGCTTAGAATGATGAGAAAGTAATTGCTATAGAAAGTTCATTTAGGAATATTCCTGGAAAAAATTGAACCTACACCTCGCCAAAGTTTTTTGTTTTGAATGCGTTCCACCAACTTCAAATACCGACAGACAGCTGTTTCGACCTTTATTGGGTCTCATGTGGATCACCTGATGTTCTTACATCTCGCCTCTGTTGACTTAACAACCGAGCATATAAGCTGAGGAAGTAATTTGTTTTGATTGTGTTCCACTACACCAAGTTGCCCGACACTGATGAGACCCAATAAAGGTCGAAACAGCTGTCTGTCGGTATTTGAAGTTGGTGGAACGCATTCAAAACAAAAAACTTTGGCGAGGTGTAGGTTCAATTTTTTCTTATATTCTTATGAATATTACCAGTGATTGGTCAAGAAAGTTTCTTAAAGAAACTAAGAAAATTGAATGTTTATATTCCTGGAACATTCTGTTAAGCATATTCAGTTTAGTTAGGTACCTATATAATAGTAAAATATACCATAATCTACGTATAAAGGTACCTATACTTAGTATTAAATGCTAAGTAAAAAACACAACCCAAAATATTTTTTTATAGTTATTTGTCAAATTAAAACAATATTCGATAACAAAAATACTTTTACTATAGGTATCTAAATTATCCGGCTTTTACATAAGATCTTCTATCCAACTTAAATACAATGAAAAATGTTTTTTTTTAAGAAGAACTATTTGGTTTTTTCTTTTATGAAGAATTATTTTATAAGGAAATATTTTGTTTTTTTATATTTTATTTTATGTTAAAAATAAATATTTATTAATTTGTATACTATGAGGCGCCGTTTGTGCCATAATTAAACTCTCCAATATATATATAATTTTGAATATATATTTATTTTTTACCAAATATATATTTATTTTTTACTTTATATGTATTTGTATTTCATATTTTAATATTTTTTTTTATATATATATTTATTTTTTTAAATATATATTTAAATGCACAAATATATATTTATAGAACTATATATATTTATAGCAACTTTGCTTTTAATATATTTATGAAATTCGACTTCACCATTTGATCGCTAGAGGCGCTGCTCAACTTATTAAATGTGGCAACGCTGTAGCAAGTGCTGCACCCAATTAGCTAATAGGAGCTTTTGTTTACGAATTGAAATAACTAGAGACAAGGAAACTCTGGAAATAACGGTTTGTTCTGCAAGGTCTCTGCGTGGTTAAAAAAATTTACCCCGTGTTTTAAAATTATTAATAAAACGGAATATTGCGAGTATCTACGTGTCTCCCTAAATAAAACCATACAACAGCGGTTTAAAAGGCGCTTTAAATCCAAGATACCTACACCCAAAGAACATACACTTAAATTAAATCTTTGTATCATAAAATAATGAGAACACAGGGAAAACAATGTTTACCGTTATTTTAAATTAGTAAACAAAACCTCCCATTGGCTAATTCGGTGAGGCCCTACCTACAGCGTTGACACATTTGATCAGTTGAGCAGCGCCTCTAGCGATCAACGGGTGAAGTCGAATTTTATAAATATATTAAAACCAAATACAAATATATATTCAGTGGCGTAGCGACAGTACCGCGAACGCCCGCCAAGCGGGGGGCCCTAACCTCGTAGGGGGCCCGGCCGATACTTGCCCCAAAACATTAAAATACTTATTTCCATCTTACTTATACTAAAAATTGAATAATAATGAATGATTAATTAAAAATATCATAATTTACTAAAATGTAGGTAGGTACTTGATATTATTGGCCTACCATCACAACATAAATGTAAAACATCTAACGGAACCTTTTGATGAATTTTAAAAATTGCGCTTATTTAACAATTGACAGCGGGTTTACGCAGGAACGATTCAGAACTTGGAAACATGCGCCTAACTCTAAACAGATATGCGCATTTAGTTATGCAGTTCTGAAGCGTTCTCTTTGCGAACCCCTAAAATTTTGACGATTGTGATTCACAAGTTGTTAGTTTGTTTTTGTTTTATATTCGTATTGGTTCAAGTAGGTTCTTATTTGTGACTGCATCTGATTATTTTATTTTTCCACTGTTTTACATGCGTTTCTCGCCGGTCAGCTGTGGTGAGCACAAAGTGGTCTAGTATTTGCATGTAAGTATTTCTTTTATTATTGGTTAGTTTAATATTATTGAGAGTTTAATATATAGAGTTACTGAGTAAGGATGCCTGATAAAATTAATATAGTTTAAGGTTATTTTTTTATGTTAAAAAATATGTTATTATTTTCTATTATTTTACTTATAATTTATAAGTAGGTACAGTGGAGAACCTTATTTTTTTTTTAATTATTTTTTTGTTACTTTTCGTTTATAAATAATTTAAAAAATCATGTCACCGGATGTATTATTTTTTATTTACAATATAAAACCATGTAAAAAATACCTGAAATCAGGGGACCCAGTAAGGATTTTCGCGGGGGGGCCCGAAATTTGTCGCTACGCCACTGTATATATTTGTACATTTAAATATAAATTTATTTATTTATATATATATATATATTTATAAAAATAAATATATATATAGAAAACATGTATAAATATATGAAATAAATATTTATTTATATTGTAAAAATACATAAATAAGTATGCAAAATTAAATATATATAGAAGAGATTAATTATGGCACAAACGGCGCCTCATAGTATACCGATTTTTTATATCTGAATTAACATTTTTATGTATAATAATCCTAACTATCTTCAACTTCAATCTAATCTGACTTATCCCACAAAATTTTCCAATTTTACTTTTTATGAAATAATGTCATACAACTTATGGTTTAGAGGTCAAATTTTTTATTTAATATTTTTAAATAAATATATATTAATATGTCGCAAAATTTTTAAAGGGGACGACAGATACATTTCACTGTCATATTATGACAGTGTGGTCTATTTGTCGCCTCCTGAAGAATTTTACGAATGTATAATCCAACATATTAGAAAGTGGGTATCTGACATATTTGGAAATATTCTCAAAAGCTTCCTAGAAGCTCCATAAGAAACCTTCTAAGAACATTCCAAAAACGCATTCTTAAAATGTTCTTAGAATGCTTTTTAGGAAGGTTTTAAGAAGCTTCTAAGAATCTAATTGCATCATTAAAAGGGTATCTATTGAATGTTTTAAAAGTCCCTAAGAACATTCTTAGCAATCAGGGAAGGTTCTAAGAATATTCCATTATTCCGGGTCATATCTTCTTAGAAGATTCTTAGAATCAAATTTTGCTATCAGGGATACTTTATTCGTAAATATAAACATTATTTTTCCTTATTGATAACGACTGATAAGGAAAAAATCTGAACACAACAGTCCATAAACGTTGAAAATTGGACTCGCTGATTTTAAAGTGGTTTAAAGGGGGTATGTGCCATTTTTTGTTGTTGAGATTTTTTGTTAGAAACAGTGTAAGGGTACAAAAAAATGGCACATACCTACATGTGGTTAGATAGATCTGATCGAAGGCAATTTTTTTTATTTGTTTAAGGTTGTAAGTAAATAATGCCTTTTTAACCTAACCCAATTGGTCTAAATCATTTTAAGCCCTAGGCCATCGACCAATTGAAAAAGCATTCCGATCGAATAAATTAGATTAAATTAAATTAATAGTTAACTTACCAATCTATCCAACAAGTAACTTCCGGGGAAAATAAATGGAATGTACAAACACATAAATATCATGGAAGTCCAATTGACCCATGTGGCACTAATGTTATAATACTTTGTTATTGTGCTTGTTATAATGGAATACTGAATCCATTGGAGAGCGTTTGAGGCTGAGAACATTACAAAAATGCCCAAAATTAACCATCGTATTTTATAAACTTTTATTTTTTTAATATCAGGTAATGGGGCTTCTTGATTTTCTGCATCTGTGTTCATGTTTATTAAAAATTAGTATCTGCAACAAACACAATAACAATAAAAAAATATATAGAAAATATTTAAAACAAAAAAATGCTTGTCCTACATAATTTAAAGAAAATTAAATGTGCAAAAACATTTATATGGAAATAACGTATTATCGTTGAGTGTCAATGGTATTATCTTAAAAAGTCCAGTCCATTAAATTCATTAAAATAAATATAAATAAAATTAAGAAAATGTCTAGCCTATATTCTGGAAAACTTATAGTTGGACAAAATTAAAGAGTAACGTTTAAAGTTATTTAACTATTTTGGTAATTCATAAAAATTCATTATTTATATGAAATAATTTCGCGCGTTAAAATAGTTTGTGGTTTGCATAAATCTTGAGGATTGTTGTAAGGTTAAAAGTGGAATCGTGGGTGTATTGAAAAATACTTGTACCTAGGTATGTACTCGCACAAGTTTGTTATTATAGTAGCGTTAATTACTGAGGTACCTATAGGTAATATCAGTGATATTGTACCCATGGCCGGATTAACAGTGTCTAGGGCCCTAGGCTAAAATTGATTTAGGGCCCCATTTAGTTGTATTTTTGAAAAACATAGTTTTATATAATTTAAAAAATTTGTCTTAATTAAAAAATTAAGTTAATAATTTCAAAGTTGAAAATATAGAGGACTTTTTAAATTTACGGTATTGCTGTTTGGTTTGTCAAATAGTGCACAGACACAACAACGACTAATGGACAAAATATTGGGTCCGGAATTTGAACCTAATGTTTTCGTATATCTTGATGACATCATTATCACAAGAAATAATTTTTAAGATCAAATTTCACTATTGAATAAAGTATACGAACATCTTAAAGACGCAAATTTAACATTAAATATCGATAAATGTCAATTTTTCCGAAAGGAACTTAATATTTGGGCCTTGTTGTAGATGGGAACGGTTTGAGAACGAATTCTGAAAAAGTCGAGGCTATGGTAAATTATACAAGACCAACTACTACTACAGAAATTAAGAGGTTTATCGGGATGGGTTCAATGGTACCGTCGTTTTATAAACGGCTTTAGTTCGTGATACTAGCTATGGTCCATGTCTTACAAAATACGAAGATTTCCGAATCCAAAAGTTGCAAAATTGCTGCCTTCAATTAATATTTGACATAAGGAAGTATGATAGAATTAGTTACACCCTAATAAATAACAAGTGGTTAAACATGGAAAACAGGCGCAAAATGCATTTAATTTGTTTCTTTCAAAACTTTCTTAAAACTAAGGCACAAAAAAATCAAAAAGTTTCGTACCTTACTGATATTCATAATATAAATTTTAGATTTAAAAACGCCATAACAGTACCGATTCATCGTATTAAATTATTTATAAGGTCTTTTTCATATATCCTTCCTAGCTACGTTAATGGCTTGCCATTTAATTAACGGTGTAATATGTTGAAAATGTCGCAAGGTTACAAACCCAAGTTTTTTTATATACTTTTTATGGAGCAGCAATGAAACTCTTAATATTTATTTAATGTCTATATGTTTAGGGTTTATTTTTAGGTAATTGTAAACTTGGTATTTCTACTAAGCATAATTGTTTTTTTTTATTATATAGCTATGGCTATTATTTTAATAATGTTATATTTTTAATGTTTAAATTCAAATTCCGCCATTTGTAATATTTTATTTTCTGATTTCAATAAAGACGTTTATTATTATTATTAATACTAAAATATACCTAGTTAACCTATTTATTAACATATTATTGCAATCTATGAAATTCCCTGTCGGACATTGCCTAACTATATATATTGTATTAAAGGTAATTTACTTATGGCCTAATTTATCCATTACAAGCTCAAGAATTTAAGTTTTTATTTAAAAATGCATTAAAATATATGGGTGAATCTCACGAAATGTCCCCCGATGGTGTTACCCCGTGTTATTAAATAAAACTAAATGAGTTTGACCTACACTTTTATTGTGTTTTGATCTTTCATAATTAAGTTGATATTACAGCTCAGGTTCCAGATTTTTAACCGCAATTAATTATTTTTTACAATGTTTTAAAAATCTAAAACCTATCCTCCGTGACTGTTACTCTTTCTAGGTTAACCTAAGTATATGTTGTCAAATATCTCAGATAGTAAAAGCATACTAAACATATCAGTTCACTTAGTAAATTAAACACATCCAAAGCAATCGAATCAAGTATAAATATTATTAAAAATTAAAAGAAATAATTTTTTTTAAATTTATGTAGGTGTTACAAAAATTGATTCTATCTTCCGTGAATCTGTTTTTTCTTTAAATTTTATGCAACGGGTGGCGCTTTAATCACTTTAAATAATCACTTTAAATAATCTTATTTCAATAAAGACGTTTATTATTATTATTATTAATACTAAAATATACCTAGTTAACCTAAATATTATTGCAATCTATGAAATTCCCTGTCGGATATTGCCTAACTTAAGTATTGTATTAAAGGTAATTAACTTATGGCCTAATTTATCCATTACAAGCTCAAGAATTTGAGTTTTTATTTAAAAATGCATTAAAATATATGGGTAAATCTCACGAAATGTCCCCCGATGGTGTTACCCCGTGTTATTTAATAAAACTAAATGAGTTTGACCTACACTTTTATTGTGTTTTGATCTTTCATAATTAAGTTGATATTACAGCTCAGGTTCCAGATTTTTAACCGCAATTAATTATTTTTTACAATGTTTTAAAAATCTAAAACCTATCCTCCGTGACTGTTACTCTTTCTAGGTTAACCTAAGTATATTTTTTCAAATATCTCAGATAGTAAAAGCATACTAAACATATCAGTTCACTTAGTAAATTAAACACATCCAAAGCAATCGAATCAAGTATAAATATTATTAAAAATTAAAAGAAATAATTTTTTTTTAAATTTATGTAGGTGTTACAAAAATTGATTCTATCCTCCGTGAATCTGTTTTTTCTTTAAATTTTATGCAACGGGTGGCGCTTTAATCACTTTAAATAAGCAAAAACCTCTGTTTATGACATTATAGATGCATGTGATTCCTGAAGGTCAGTTAGAATTTATATGCAGATGAGAGTGTTGCTGTTTTGTAATTCAAAAGTTTAAGTTCATTAATTTGCTATTTAAAAACCTATCCATCGCGAATTTTTTATAAATATTTTATGGATGTACTATTGTATTTTTTAAAAATATTAAGGTGTCAAAAGATTCAATAATTTATTTCAAATATACAAAGGGATGTTTTTAAAAAAACATACGAAATCCTAACCTCCGTGAAGCTATCTTCCGTAAAGCTCTAATATTCAAAATGTATGATTTCTTAAAATTCTTGCATTAGTGCAGAACCACTTATGTTATTACTAGACCTGGTGGCTTCCCAAAAAAACCATTCTAGACTAACATTAAAACAACCAAAAATAATCATTTTCACTTGGGGGACATCTCAATATATTAACCCATATATGGTTGCATTTAAAAAACAAAGTTACTGTCACTTCCGGTTCAACCGAAAATTGAAAATATTTTAGAAAAAAAGATAGCACTGTCATAGCTACCACAATTTTGGATTGATGTTTTTTGGACTCTATAAATCTCTAATAAATCATTGGGTGAATCACCCTGTATATTGCTTATAAGCAATTACTTTCAATAAGCCTATTCCGACCCATTCCATGGTAGATTCAAACTTTAATCTTAAAAAAATAAGACCACATAAATTAAAAATAAATATGGATAGTTGTAAAAAGAAATTATCTAATAAACAGATGGCAGTATTTTAATAAATTGTTATTAAACCGCCTCGACGATGATGAAAGGAGATTTTGTCATATTAATTACATTACAATTAATGACTAAGCATTTTTATATTAAGGTTTTAAGTAGTTTTTAAGTAGCTCAGATGTGCTTGGTTAGTGCCCGAGCACAATTCCGCGAGCGTGGAGCATTCACAACTTTTTTAATATTTTTTACATTTTGAAATAATACAATGTGGCACAATGTTTTTCAATTATTAATAAATGCACATTTTATTACTTACAGTTGTTTTTGCTATGTAAATGTCACATCATCTCCGCGGCATTTTAATAACAATCTATTAATATACCGTCGGCGGTTTAATAACAATTTATTAATACACCTCCGGCGGTTTAGTAGACTCTTGCTCGAAAAAAATCGACAAATGTTTGAGGATATTTTTTGAAAAGGCGTTAAGAAATTAAGTGGGGGTATGATGTAAAGCATTCACATATGTACGGTAACACAGAACAACTTTCCAAGTTTGAACAAAATTGCTTGTCGGGGCAGATAGGTGAAAGGTTTCGCGGGCTTTGCATCGAGTATTTATTTTATTTTATGTAATTTTGATAGACAATGTCACTAATTTTACCTATACTTATTAGTAATTAACGCTACTAATAACAAACTTGTGCGAGTACATACCTAAGTATTTTCTAATAAATACCCACGATTTCACTTTTAACCTTACAATAATCCACAAGATTCATGCAAACCACAAACTATTTTAAGGCGAAATTGCTTCGGCCCGGTTACCGCTGACGTCATTGTACCAATGACAGCAAACGTCAGCCGCTGTCTATGATGTCGGCAGGGAAACCGGAGCCGGAGGAATAGTCACAGCGTTAAGACAACTTGGATTATTTTTTATTGCATAATTTTAACAAACGCACAAATCTTCAAATTTTTCTATGTCATTAATTCTTTATAAATAATGTTAAACAAATATTAGAAATATTCCCACCAAAACAAAATATAAAGTGCTTAATGTACTTTTCGCCAACGATTTTGGCATCTTCAGAAGCGAAGTGTAACTAAATCTAAATGCAACGTCTGCTGGTCTCGGGGTGACCATCGTGCCGGATGATTATCCGGACGCGATGATCATAGAATCGCAGAGCAAAACAATCATGGGGGCATTAAACGCCGACATTGATCTTATGGGAGGAGATCGCTTTTTACAGTTTGAGCAGTTTTGCTGATCGTCGCAGGGAACC